TTTTTGAAAGAAAAGAGTCGTGTAATCATCAGGGCCTGCCACAGAATCACTATTCATTCCCATCACAGTATTCTTAATCTCCTCCAAAGAAGGATGTAAAGAAAGAAAATTCATTATCCTAAAGAGACAGAAGATTGGGAATAAAAGAGTGGTCCATAGCCTGAGTAGGAGTAAAAACTTTATTATAATTATTTTAAAAATGAAGCACAGCTAGATTAGCAATTTCACCAATGTCATTAGAATAAGAGCCATCCTCTCTTTGGATGTTGTTGATATTATTCTTAATCATTTTTCTCTTAGTTAAAGCATGAAAATACTTATTATTACTATCACCCTCAACCAAATGCTTAGCAGCAGATTTTTGTTTCAAAAAAATCTCTTCCTGAGCTTGAAAGTTAAAAAGATTAAGTTTAGACTGATTTAACAAAGACAAATTAGCATCAGTAGGGTCATTTTGACATAAGTTTTCATTAAAAGCCATACATTGTTCAGCTTGAAGAATATTAGAGAAGATATTTCTGAACACATTGTGATTCCACCAATTCAGAGCTTGTTTCAACCTCTTAAGCTTGAACCAAAGCCTTTTCATACAAAAAATAGAGTTATCAGGATGTAAGGGAGCATGCCAATTATATTTAACAACATCAAAAAAGGTATTATTCAATAACCACATATTTTGAAATCTGAATTGAGAAGAAATATTAAATTGCCTAGTCTTAATGTTGATAAGAAGTGGAGAATGATCATATAAAGTTATACTAAGATGCTGAATACTAGTAAGATTAATAGCATTAATCCAAGAATTATTAAAAAGCACACGATCAAGCCTTTTCCATAAGTGACCCATATTCCAAGTGAATTTATTACCAACAAACCCAATATCAATCAAATTACAAGATAAAATCATATTATTAAAGTCAGACATAGAATGATATGAAGGAATCGACCCACCAAACCTTTCAGAAGAGGTAGAGATAGCATTAAAGTCACCGCCAACCATCCAAGATAACTGGCAAATACTATGAAAATTCCTAAGCTGATCCCACAATAACTTCCTAATATAAAGGGAAGAAGCAGCATACACGAAAAAAACACAACAATGAAAATTAAAAGCCTTAATTTTGCAATGCAAAACTTGAATAAAGTCACAAATAACATCAATTTTAATATGGTTTTTCCAAAAGACCCAAATTTTGTTAGACATATTTGAAATAACATGGTTAAATCCAAGGTAACGAGAGGTACTAGCCAACCTAGAAGCAGGGATAAGGGGTTCAAGCAAAACGAGAATGGAAATACGATGAACACGACATAAATTTTTAACACGAATCCTTGAAGACGGGCAACCAATACCCCGAACATTCCAAACAATAGTACTAAACATAAAGAGAGATTAATGAGAAGTATTAGAACGAGTATTTCTAGCCGTGTTTCTAGCAGGTTGTAATGAAATATGCTTGGGTTTCCGCCCCCTTTTACTCTGATATTTTATAAAACTAGTGTCATTATCATCCTTGGAAAAGCATTTAGCCGCAGTAAAAGAAAATATAATGAGAAGCCTAAGGGTTCATTTAGAGTTATTGTAATAAGTTGTAATTATGATTAGAAATATGTTACGAGGAAAATAGCTATTTTAATATATTTTACGTTTTTATAAAGATTTTATTTTTCCAAGAAAATTTAACATCTTACTTTTAGCTACAGTAATCTTGTAGACCTAATTCTCAAATTCAACTTTATATCATAAAAATTCTAAACAATAATAGTAAAGTAATAACTAAAAATATATATATGATAACGATCTAAAAGGCAAAACAATCAGAAAGTTATCCTAAATATACTGTAATTCAAATCAATCGGTACACCGATTCATAGCTCAATTAACGATTTGATTAAAATTTTTTGAAGATATTTAATTTAAATGAGGAGTCATAAAAAGTAAAAAAAAAAGTAAATATTTTTTTATTAATAATAAATGTCTTTTATCACGATTTTAAAATGAATATAATGAAAAATATCTTAGGTTAGGAGGCGTGATATAATTTTATTCCCTTATTTTAAGACTTGACTTAAGGAAGTGTTTTGAAAACAAAGATTATCCTAAACTATAAGTGTTGATGACCCACATCTAATGGGACACGTGGCAAAAATCAAGTAGGTGCAGATATGTCTTTTAATTCATAGAGTTGATTTTGCATTCTAATTTTAATTTATTTGAGATTGATGCATTATAAAAATTAATTAATTAAATATTATATTTATCTCAAAATAAATTTGAAAATTATAAAATTTATTTTGATCAAATTTTCATCAGGAGATGCCCTAACTAAAATAATTAGATTAAAACGTTGTAATTAAATTTTTATAAGAAAGAATATTTAAAAATATAAATTTATTTATAATAAATTTAATGTGCAATGAATTAATCAAAATTTATAATAAATTTATCTTGAAATTAAAATAATAATTTAAAACTATAGTACGAGAAGATTAGGCTTAAAAAATCATTAAATTTATTTTAAGATTAATATTATTTATGTTGTGCACTAATCTTAAAGCAAAGCAAATATTTTTTAAGTCTATTATAATAAAATTTGTATTAGGATAATTTGTCAAATTTTTTTTTTCTAATTTTAAGATAATTATATATATCATATATATATTTTTTACATAAAAATAATTTTACAATATTATTCAATTTGTATCTCTTTTGAAATAAAAAAAATAAAATTATAAACATCTATTACAAAATATAATTAAAATTTTAAATAATTAAGTCAGGCCAATTTTTTTTTTTTCGTGGGATTACGTTGTCGGCACCCATCACCCAAATTTCAAACTAGCCGATGACTAATTCCTCCGCGAAGCAGCGTAACGTCTCTTAGCAATTAAAAATAAAAGAAACTACAGTCAAAGAGCCCCACAAAATTAAAATTAGAAAAATAAAAAATAAAAATACGCATATAAATCACGCGCGCTTATCCATCAACCTCCAAGCCACTAAATGACGGGGTAAGTTTACCGTTCTTACCATCCAATGTTCTGTTAAGAAAAAAAAAACTAAGTTAATGATCAATTTGATTTGAATCTAATTGGAGATTTTTTTTATTTAAATGTATTTGAAGTCTTATATTATTTTTTGTTCTGTATATTTATCATTTGATTATAAAAGTCGATCATCAAATTGGATAAATTAACACAATTGCTACTATATGAAAGTAGTTCGTTTAAGATCTTCCTGATTTGCCATTGATTAAAACATGCAATTTGTTGTTAACCTAAAACTCTCATAGAAATTGCGATCGATTACGTTGGAAAACAAGTCACATATGAATTCAAATACGTAGCTTTTCAACTGCCTGTCTTACTGCAAATAACATGCGTATAGAACTTGCAAAGATGTCATGAAAAAAAGAACTCATATACTTCATAAGTATCCCAAATTAATTTTATTAATAATTCATAAATATCTGGACAAAATAAAATATATACATAAATATATGATTGTCACGTATCCCATTCACTGAAATTTTGAGTCATGCAAGTTCACACTGTCAGATTGGATACATAGACACCATGAAATATTCAGCATTTAGTGCACATACATACGTGCTTAACTTGATCTGTTGTAAACGTGTAGAAGTTTCCCTATTCTTAACTATATCTCCCATCAAGCTCAAACCTTTTCTACATCAATGCCAAATTAAATATTTCTTTTTATATTAGTAGTTTGTTCCTAATATCCATCACTACATGAAAAATATTTTGATGAATATATTTCTCTCAATCCTAGCCAACATTTATGACCAATGTGAATACTTAGCTGAATCCCATGCAATGTAAGTATGACAATTTTTCATGTGTGCTCCTTTCCCAAAATGATTGGTTGTACACATGATGAATATTTAGGTTCATGTGTTTAATATAAATCTTTATTCCATAGGTCATTCAACTCACCCATTAATAGTCTTAAAAATACATTGAAGTACTTTGTTGAACCTCTTGGTTAGGAATAAGTAATGCTAAGAAGATGAAAAATTGCTTCATGATCATGCATGTACATTTATGGCAATATGTTACGAACAACAATGAGGATTGACCAACATGTACATGAAGAGCTTTGTTTAAGATAGCTTTCTTACTGATTTCTAAAACAATTTTTTTGGTACAAAGCTTTCAAGTTTAAGTAATTTTTGTACTAAAAAGCTTCTTTAGAAAGCAGTAAGAAAGTTGTTCTAAATGAAGCTTAAGACTTTGTTTAGGACATCTTTCTTACTACTTTCTAAAACGGCTTTATAGTACAAAAATTTCTAATTCAAGAAAATTTTACACTAAAAAGCCGTTTTAAATGAAGCCTAAATCTATATGTATATATTTTGGTTACAACATTATATGCTTTTTATCTTATTTGATGATATTCTCTTCATTATCCGGAATATAAATGGTGAAATTATTAGATATTATTAATAAATTTATTTGCCTCAATGATTATTACAAAAGAAGATAAGTCAATTCAAATTTGCTGCCCATATCTTCAATTAAAAAAGCTTATGATAGTAATTAACATATTTTTTCTAAAATTCTATTATTTAATTCACCCTTTTTAAGATAATTTACAATAGTTTGAATGAAACAATATTCACAGTAATAGTGAATAATTTAAAATAATAACAATTAAAATTAAATTAATTAATTAATTATATAAATCTTCAAATAAAAAATTATAATCAAAATTATTATTATTATTAATATTTTAAAATTTAAATAAAATAAAACTAATTAATTATATAAGTTTTCAAATATAAAAATTAAATTAAAATCAAATTAAATTGAACTACAACGATCGCTTTTTCCTGTTGGAATATTCCAAGTCTTACCCTAGCTAGGCTCCATTGTACTGCCGTCAGCCGGTCAGCTTACTTGGTGGTGACCGTATCCTACTCCTTCACGACATTATAAATCCTTGATAGATTTGCAAAGTTGCGTTGCAGATTCTAATCTCCATTACTTGCTTTCCTCTAAGCTCTACTGTTATATAGATATAAGATCTCTACCATGAGTTGCATGACACAACAATGGCTTGACCCCATAGTTCGAGTGCAAACCCTATCTGAAAGTGGACTCCATTTCATACCAAACAACTACATCAAACCCGTCGTCGACCGACCTGATTCGGATAATGCTTTGGATGAAATAAATCTGCCCGTGATCGATATCGGAGGCTTCATGAACGGCTCGTTAGAGTCAAGCGAGACGACGATGCTGGCGATATCGAATGCATGCAAAGAGTGGGGGTTCTTCCAGGTGGTGAACCATGGAGTGAGCAACGAACTAATAAGAAAGACGAAGGACATGTGGAGGGAATTCTTTCATCTTCCCATGGAGGAGAAGACAACTTATGCGAATTTGCCGACGACTTTTGAGGGTTATGGTAGTCGGCTCGGGGTGAAGAGGGATGCCATTCTCGACTGGGGAGATTACTTTTTTCTTCAGCTATTTCCTGAGAGTGTCAGGAGTCATGATAAGTGGCCAAAAGTTCCGACGCCTTTGTTGAGGTATGTATTCTTAGGAGAAATATTAATTTCCAAATCAATTAACTTATAAGACAACTTTTGAGGGCTATGGCAGCCGGCTCGGAGTGAAGAGGGATGCCATTCTCGACTGGGGAGATTACTTTTTTCTTCAGCTATTTCCTGAGAGTGTCAGGAGTCATGATAAGTGGCCAAAAGTTCCGACGCCTTTGTTGAGGTATGTATTCTTAGGAGAAATATTAATTTCCAAATCAATTAACTTATAAGAAGTTAATTTTTGTATCTAAAATATCATTTAATCATTTGCATTGAAATCATATCACTAATTTGTAGCTCTAATTTTAATTATCTCTAATATTAATCAAAAGTGTAAAAAGAAAAAGACTATAATTACTAATTAGCATGCATGCATATTATCTGTTAGGTAGAAAAATTAATACAGCCACCAAAGACCTAACTTACATAAGTTTAATTTATTTCAGCTTTATTTTTTTTTTATTTTTTTTTTGCAGTGCAATAACAGAAGAATATTCAAAAGCTTTGATGAATCTATGCAAGTTACTTACACAGGTGTTATCCTTAAACCTAGGGCTTGATAAAAGCTTTATATGGAAAGCATTTGGCGAAGAAGAAATAGGTTCGTGCATGCGTGTCAACTACTATCCGAAATGCCCTCAACCGGGTCTTACGCTCGGCCTATCTGCTCATTCTGACCCTGGAGGCTTAACAGTTCTCATGCCAGATTATCGTGTTAAAGGATTACAGGTGCGAAAAAATGATGAGTGGATCACAGTGAAGCCTATGACTGATGCCTTTATAGTGAACGTTGGCGATCAAATTCAGGTTATGCTTGATTAATGTTTTTGTTTTTGTTCTTTTAATTCATTTTCTTCTCCTATTTAAATTCACGAGACATTATATAGGTTTATAAGTTATGCATATATTATTTTTTTCTCTGAGTAGAATGATCATTTTATCTATTTTGTCTCCTCTCAATAAATTCAGTCTCTCAAAATTTTATGAATTCTTTTTTCTATTTCAGCACTAAGGTTTCTTTTGGGACGAGTTTTTTACTGTTTCTAAAAGCAGCTTTCATGTAAGAAAATTAAAATTTTTGTACGAAAAATTTGCTTTAAAAAACAGTAAGAAAACCGTCCCAAATAAAGCTTAAGATTATGCATATTTGAAGCCTATTTTGCCCACCCTTAGAAGAGATGCCAATTTCGCTTCTATATATATATAATCATTAAGATATTTATTTTGTATTTTTGATAATTTTATTGTTTATTTTGGACTTATTTGTTTTCTTACAATAAATCTTATAATTTTCTTTTACAAGCACGCGTTTTTAAGGTCTCTATCCCACTTTGATTGCATTGTTTGGTAGTAAGAAAAGCAATTAAGCACGTGCTGCACGTGTGACATATTTGAATAATTTTATGCAAAGAATATTAGGGAAGAGCCAAACGTGTCAAACATGAGAACCTAAATTATGGCCTATAATTTTATACCGCTAATGATCATTTAACATCTTAAACATTCGATTATAACATTTAATGTTTTTTTAACATAAATTAATATTAATTCTTAATTTTTTTTTTAAAATAATTTTATGTACATATAAATGATGCCAAAATAGTTTTAATTTATGCCAAAAATACGCATTTAAAAAAAGTTGATTTTGCATGCACAATTTTTTTTTATTATTTGATGAGTTTATAGGATGATTTATGAAATAATTAAGTAAACCTAAATAATTATTGACTTTTTGTGTAATTAGCTTAGTTAATTTGATACCCTTCGTAATTATAATTGAGTTTGTTACTATCTATTTATAAATAATTATTTTCTCTTAATAATTTTTTTAAAAGAATTTCTATCTTGAAAAATTATATTATGTAGCAGATAATAAATTTGATTGACCATCGGGTGATTAAGATCTTTGATAGCTAATAGATATTAGACGCCGATCATTAGTAGGTGCATGAGCAAATTAGTTGATGGAGAACCTCGAAAGTTGGAATGACAACAAGTCAGCTTGATTGTTCTCTTGATAGGATGAGAGATCATGAGAGTGGAAATAATGGCATCAAACATCGATTGTTGACTGAGCAGTCAACGACAACCGATCTAGAAAATCAGAAATTGAACGATTATGTTCGGCCAACTTATTTGTTCGCGGACTCATAAATTGAGTGTCGAAAGCTAACTTCGTCATTGTCCTTACGAAAAGTTTTACAAGTGATTGAACCAATTCATTCGAAAATTAATCCTTGATTAGAAAACCAATCAAAATTCTAGTGATTTAATTCCATTTTGATTTCATTTCAAGACATAATCTTTGCAGATAAATTATAAGTTTTTCTAGCTTGTCCAATTTAGGTCTTAAGCAATGCAATATACAAAAGCGTGGAGCATAGGGTGACAGTAAATTCAACAGAAGAACGGCTTTCTGTAGCATTTTTTTACAATCCAAGAGGCGATTTACCAATTGGACCGGCTCAAGAACTTGTGAACCCGGTTCGACCAGCTCTGTACAAACCTGTGACTTTTAATGAATACAGATTGTATATGAGGAAAGAAGGTCCAAGTGGCAAGTCACAGATTGAGACTCTGAAGGCTGAATAGCATCAAAGCTTATATATTTTTTTATTGCTATCTGTTGTGTTATGAATCATAGTGGTTTCCATTTCCATTTGTATTATTAATTTGTACTCTTAAGGTTGTTCATTGTTGTTGTATTGCTTTGATAAGCTTTATTATTATTATTATTTTATGTGGGAAATTCTAAATGTCTCTTTGATGTTGAATCTAAGACTTCGTTTGGGACGGTTTTTTATTACTTCTTAAAACGGAGTTTTAGTACAAAAATTTAAAACTCCGTTTTAAGAAGCAGTTAAAAAGCTGTCCCAAACGAAGCCTAATTGCTAGGCAATGAAGAAAAGGTGTATTAAAAAAATTGGTTGTTTGTGTAATAAAATATGAATGTTTATGAGAATGTTTGATTTGCATGTTTTGATAAATGGTTTGAATTTGATTCATTTTATGTAAATATACGTAGCATGAACAACATATAATATGAATATGTTGAGCTTGAGAGGGAAATTATTATGTACTAGAAAAATTGTGGCAGTAGAGTGAGAGTGTTATGTTCTAATTTTATATGAAGAAATTATTGCACTCACGTAGATAAATGATAATAGTAAATAAGGTACTAAAGTTTTTATTTGAAAAATGTGGTAATGAAAAAAAAATCAAGGGGACTGGCTCATGTATATATATATATTGGCAAAAGAAAATTTCATTAAATAAAAAGAGCATTATAGCACAAGCCCAAAAGTTGGCCACATAGAATAAGATTACAACCATAGGAAAAATAGTAAGCGTCAGTGCCAAAACAACCTGAACAAAACAAAGAAAATTATATCCCCAAAAGCAATTGGACTCCGATCACCACCTGGTTGACAGGCTCATATATATGAAATGATCCATTTTGTCAACAATGTTGTGAAGTCTACTCTTTTTTACAATTGGAAAATAACCGATTACAAAGTTGGTTATACAAGCTTGACTTCTTGTGAGTGTTACGAAAAATGTTAAAGATGTAATGAAAGGGTGATGACAACAGTCTGGCGATGCTAGTCAGATGATGATGGTTGAGCGATGATGATTGTGCAAAGGTGATTGGGTGATAGTGGCCGGATGAAGACAATCATGCGATGAAGGTAAGAAAACGATAGACGGAAGATATTTGTGAAGTGACGAAAATAATATGACCGTAAATGAGTGATAATATGCAACAATATTGTCCTTTATTTTTGACATGCAATAATACTATTTTAGGAGAAAAATCTATTAATTAAGGATTATCATATCCTTAACATTGTTGTCCCCTTTGAATAAGTTTCATATATTATTGCTACTATTTTCCCAATACAAAAGTCAAATAAACAAAGTGGTGCTTACTATGATTTTAAAATGGCTCTATAACTGGCTTGTAAACTAACTACTACTGATGTTATCTAGGAAATTTAGAGTAATCCTTGGAAAGATTGGTGTTCTCTAGTGAGTATGTTGAGGATATATATAATTATATATACGCATATATGGATGCAAATTATTCAGTTAAATTTTAACATATTTAATTTTAGTCTTTTTAACTAATGGTTTAACTTTTGGCTCAATTATTTTTTTACCAACCTTTTTCCTTCTTACAAATCATATTGCTTTCACTAAGTAAATTCATTCTTTTTATTCAACAAATTTTTTCATCTTTCCCCTGCTAGTTCTGGGGAATTGGTGGATGCTAGTTCTGGGGAATTGGTGGATTCTGGTGAAGTGGTGGGTGTTGGCTCACCTATGTTTATGTCTCATTTGCTGGACTCTGGTGTTGTCTTGGCATCCCGTAAATGTGCAAGTGAAGTGGGTGGTGGTGTTAACTCTACAACTCCTTTGTCTCGTGTGGGTACTGTGTCTGCTCCGTGTATTTTGGCTGAGGTTGCTTCACCTAGTGGGGTGTTTGTGCATTCTGGGACCTCCGTTCCTTCTGCTTTGACGCCTATTGTTTCTGTGTCTGGACCTTTTGTTGATGTTCATGTTAATTTAATTTCACCGGATGCATTGATTTCTCAAGTAGGTGCCAATTCGGGGGAGAGTGTGAGGTTGCAAATTGACTGGATTCATTGTTCGTCTGATTCCTCTTCGGATGCTAGTGGAGATAAAGAACCTGTGGATGAATTTGCTGTGCAGCCTGACCGACCTGTTGTGCCGGTTCCCTCTCGTGGGAGGGGTAAACGTGATAGGGGTAGGAGATGATTTTCGTTGGACTCTCTCTTTTGGGTTGATGTTTTTGTTGGTAGCCATTATGAGTTATTTTTTAATTGTGGTGGTTACTGTTTTACTGGAGATTGATTATATTTCGAGGATGTGATTGTTGGTTTATGGCAATGATGTGGCTAGGGCTCACTTATCTGAAGCCATGGCTCGTGGCAACCTTTAGTGGTGCATTTTTTGCTCGATTGGTCCTTGGTGCGATTCAACTCTCACTCCAAACTGGATGGCCCACGCATAACTTCGGAGCAGTTGGAAGCCTCTGCCAAATACTGAGCCTAATGGGTTGTAAACCCCCCTTGCTTTGGTTTCACCGCAGTTTTCTATTTTCGTCCATTCTTTAAGTATGTTTTGTAACTCCACTTTTTTTGCTTGAAATGTATTTTGGTTTTTCAAAAAAAAAAAAAAAAAAAAAAAAAAAAAAAAAAAAAAAAAAAAAAAAAAAAAAAAAAAAAAAAAAAAACAAAACAAACAAAACAAACAAACAATTTTTTTCATCTTGTGAAATCATACATACACTTTTAAGTATATTTGTAGTAATTTGGTCATATTTAACTTAGGCCTCATTTGTGTTAGCTTTTTTATTGCTTTCAAGCACAAAATTTTTTTGTACTAAAATTTGTTTTAAAAAGCAGTAAGAAAGTTGTTAAAAATGAAACCTTTAGACGTTGTCTGAGATAACTTTCTTACTGTTTTGTTTTTTAAACCACAACCATAGCTTCTCTTTGGCCACTACTTTTTCGTTGATTTCAAAAATTTTTTATGATTGGAAACTACTTTATACAATAGCTTTTAAAAAAGTTTTGCACAACAACTTTACAATCCACTTTTACAAAAATTTACAGACGCTTCAAATGGACTCTTATCCTCATTAAAAAAAACAAATAATAATAGTATTAAAGATCCTAACTTTGTAAAATTCAAGAAGAATCTATCAACTTTCATGCCGACCATCTACTATCTGTCTCTACAAGCATACACAACTCTCCTTGGCCTTTTGGTTGAAAGCTTAGGCTTCCAACTAAGAGGTCCAAGGTTCGAGTCCATGTGTATGCGTTGTGTGTGTGAGTTTGCCTTAAATGGCCTAAATGTCCTAAAAAAAAAACTCTACAAGCATGCATGTGAACAATTAAATGAAAATGAAAGAAGGATCTATCAAGACTTTATGACTCTGCAGCTAAGTTGTAGTACTGTATCTGACCTTGATTAAGCCAGACCTTGTCAATGGAGACTTTATATTTATAAAGAGTGGAAGGAACAGTGCCATGCACTCACCTTAATGAATTTTCTTTCGGTTATTCAATGTTATTGTACTGTCCTTAGCTTGAATTAATCGATTGCATAAAGTTTTTTGAGAGAAAGCTGCAACATTGATGGAAATGATGATAGCAATGTGGATGCTGATGTAATGATGTTATATATATTTATATTATCTATGTGAAAATAGTCAAGAAATGGCTTTCATTTGAGTTCTTCTTTTGCATAAAACAATCAGTTTTTTGGGTTATTTGCATGAAATATGGTTTTGGTGTGTTTGTTAGAATATGTAGTAGTTTTAAAATAATAAAAAATAATAATAACTTGTTTTGTTTTACAAATAAGGAAAATTAGCTCATATAGGAATTTTGAAATCTTAACATTTATGATTATGGCTTTGTTTTGGATGGCTTTCTTGTTGCTTCTTAAAGCAATTTTTTAGTACAAAAATTTTGTACTTGAAAGTTGTTTTAAGAAACAGTAAGAAAGTCGTTCCAAATGAAGCCTAAGACTTTATTTGAGATATCTTTCTTATTGCTTTTTAAAGCAAAAAATTTTTTGTTCAACAAAATTTTGTACTTAAAAAGCTACTTCATAAAGTAATAAAAAAACAGTCTCAAACGGAACTAAAGACTCCTATGTAAATGAAACATTTTATTAGAGGTTTATATTTTTAACATATTAGAAATAAACCGTATATGCTAGTAATATGAGAATTTCAATAAATTATGGTATTTATGGTAGAGTTAATTATTCATGTTGGTAAATATGAAAAATTCTTGTTCTTGTTTGTAAAAAAATCAAAACTATTACCTTTTCCAAAAAAAAAATAAAAATCAAACAAATATGAAGTTTTACACGAATAATACAATATTTCTTGAGAGCTAAAAGTCTAAATTGGCACATCTAAATGTAAGAGGACTTTCAAATTCAAATGAAATTTAATATTTACATGACATTATATTTACTACATATGAAGGATGATATAAAAATTATTAATAAATATTGATGGGTGGCAACCCATGATGCACGAACACGAACACGGTGACACATACACGATATGACACAGACATAGGATATGTCTTTTTTGAAAATATAAGACACGAGTACGACGCAGACATGTCATTACATTTTTTTTAATATTGATGTAATATTATATTAGAAATTAAATGACAAATAATAATAAATAAATAACATGATAACTTGTCTAGTTTATAATATAAAATGTTTAATAAAAAATGTCTAGTACAACCACAACAATATAAGCAAATAACCATTTACTAGAACATCAAGCATATCCAGGATTAGCTTCAAAGTTTATTTTTGGCCTCCAATATCATCATCGTTGAATATCATTGCTTCCAACTCTAGTTCATCAAGAAAAAGATTTGTAATAGTTCATTGGATATCATATAATAAAAGTTGGGTTTTCTTTGTATCTATTTACTTCTCTAGTAATTTAAATAATTTTATCATAAAAAAATATGACACGCGTGTCCCAGACATGTCCGACATGTGTCTGTTGTGTTCGACACGTATCCCAGCCTTGTCGAGCACGTGCCCGTGTTCAACACTGCATTCTCTCTTCAAGAAGTTTGTCGATGCATCATAGGTGGCAACCCTCACCTTCCTCCTCCCTCTAGATTTGACCCCGTATCTATCACATTTATTATCTTGTGCATTCATCATCTTCATTGACAAATAAATCGTTTGAACCATTAATAATTTTTTAACATTATAAGAATTTTGAGCTATAGTAATCATTATTTTTTAATAATACGACGAAAAATCATTAGTCAAATAGAAATTATGATTGCAATATAAAAAAGTAAAATAACAAAAAAAACTATCCAAACAAAGCCAGCCTAAGATACATTATGAAACCTCTTAAGTAAAAGAAACCGAACTCTTAAATAT